TTCCCATCCAGCTCCCTGCTTGTGGCCTGGGAAAGCAGCCAAGGACGGCCCAAAGCCTTGGGGTCCTGCACCCGTGTGGGAGACCTGGAGGAAGTTCCTGGCTCCTGGCTTTGGATCAGCGCAGCACTGGCTGTTGTGGTCACTTGGGGAGTGAATCATCAGATGGAAGATCTTCCTCTCTGTCTCTGTTCCTCTCTGTATACCTGACTTTGCAATAAGAATAAATAAATCTTTAAAAAAAGAGGGGGGAAAAAAGAAAAATGGAATTGTTTATTTTGGATGAAGAATGCTGACACTCGAGCACGGGGTTTCCATAATGTGCGTTTCCTATGGACTTTCCGCAGACCTTGCTGTGTGAGAGTGTCTGTGATTAGATTTGGAAAATGTGATACACTGCTGTCACCGTTAGTAACTCCGGCCTTCCTAGGCAATGTTCTATGAGTCTGTTCATCTTAGAGAATCTGAAGAGAGAAGAATCAAAAGCCCTATTCTTGTTCCCATACTTAGAAAACAATCTGATTACGCCTAGAGTTGTCAAAGTGTGGAGGCAACGTGTGAAAAAACCAAATATGCTCCTCTTTCAGACGGAGGGCTACTGAGATGTACTGAGACGTATATACCTCCGTGTGGCTGAAGAACTGGGTCACCTCCCACCAGGCCCTCCCAAATAGAGCAGTGAAGAAAGCAGCCTTTGGTGCTCCTCTCTTGGCAGGGTCCACACAATCACCCCAAAGCTTAGGGGATCATGTCAGCTCCCAAATGCCCTGCACCGGGTTGGACCTGAACCATCTTCCGCTGCCCTGGTCCCCAGGCAGGATTCTAGAGCTTGCTGGAAGGAACCCAAACAAGTGTGAAGTGCCTTGACACAGAGGACTGGCTTCCACCTAGGCGGTAGCTCAGACCTCTGCTGGCTCCCCTGGGTGGTGTCCAGGCCTGGGTCCCTTTGCCCGATGACACCACAAGGCATTACTGAGCTTCCTGGACTTTTGGATTTCACATATTTCAGGTTCAGGGGATTTCACTATAAACCCATGAGAAAGGACGGCAAAAATCTGCCTGCCATTTCCTCCTTGGGATCTTGGCCTGATGGACACGCAGGGAGCTACTTAGATCAAAGGAAATACCGCGAAGGTGCGGGCGGGGCGGGGCGGGGGAGGGGATGGGGGATGGCGTGGCCTCTCCCACAAGACTCACTCAGGCCCCTAGTTGTGGAAATACTACTGACTCTGCTACACATGAAGGCTGGCACGGACACTTTAAATAGGAGGAGGGAGTGGGCCTCAATGGGGGGATGGCAGGAGAGGCCTGGAGCAGTTGGGCACTCAGGAAAGGTGGCATGTGGCATATACACAGGGTGTGTGCTGGGGCGCAGCACGGGTTGGTCTGACGGAGCCAAACCATTCTGTCCCCCCAGACAAGCTTCCCCAAGGTTATGCTAACAACCCCCCATGTCCATCTCCTTCTCTCCAAATGCGTGCTGCAGATGAACACTCGTTCATGATAACCACGTCACTGACACGTACGCTCAGCCATCCAGCCCGGGGCCACCCCAGGTTCTTAATCATTCACAGGGTCTTTTCTGGTGGCATTCCACCCACTCTCAGAGATCTGTTCTAATCCGTAGACCACTAGAGCCTTCAGCAGCGGCACAGGGCGAGAAAGCCCTTTGTAAGTATACATCGCTTACACTTTTGAAACCAGTGGCTAAAGCGGCGTCTGCTCTGGCCAAGCGTGCGGCATGGTGCTGGGTCTGTGAGCGCACGGAGGTGGACCCTGTTGACCAGCACACGACCTTGGACAGATTTTCTCAACCCTGGAGCTACGAACCCGACATCATCTCAGGGTTATCGAAACCACTCAAGAAACACCCTCAGAACCTTCTTTCCCTTATTGGTCTCTAGGGCGTCATCAAAGGACCATCCCCCATCGGTGCTGGTGTGGTCTGACAGCAATGAGCGGCTCCTGAGGCCTCCTCCTCCCCAGAGGACACAGGAGGAAAAAAAAAAAAAGACTGACACATGTGTCCCACCTACCTTCTCCATACCCGACTGTCCCCACCCTAATCCGAGACCCACGTGGGCATGCATCCCTCTCAACTATGTAAACAATATTAAAAATAAAATGTAATGGGCCCGGCATGGTGGCCTAGTGCCTAAAGTTCTCACCTTGATCACACTGGGATCCCATATGGGTGCCGGTTCTAATCCTGGCAGCTCCATTTCCCATCTAGCTCCATGCTTGTGGCCTGGGAAAGCAGTTAAGGATGGCCTAAAGCCTTAGGACCTTGCACCTGCGCAGGAGACCCAGAAGAAGCTCCTGGCTCCTGGTTTCAGATCAGGTCAGCTCTGGCTGTTACGGCCACTTGGGGAGTGGACCAGCGGATGGAAGATCTTTCTGTCTCTCCTCCTCTCTGTAAATTTGACATTCCAATAAATAAATAAATAAATCTTTAACAACAACAACAAAGCCAGGATACATGAATTTGCCTCACTCTGCTTTGCCCTGTGACTACGAGGAAAAAAAATCTGTCTGTGGGGAGACACAACCTCTCCTTGCCTTCTCCCCACGGGGCCAGCAGGGGACCCCATGCTGAGCAGTCTGGAGGGGTCACGACATCAAGCGACATTATGGACAGTTCCTAATCTCCTGGCTGCCTTAGGCCACTTTGCTGGACTTTGCCTTCTGAGACAGTTCTGTCTTCAGAATAGAATTTTCTCCCAGTGGTTACTTTTTGTTTGTTTGTTTGTTTTGTTTTTTAAAGATTTATTTAGGGAAGCGGGGCCACTGGGATTAGAACTGGCACCCATATGGGATTCTGGCACATGCAAGGCAAGGACTTTAGCTACTAGGCTACTGCATTGGGTCCAATGGTTACGGTTTTCAATGTTTCATAATCTCATAGTGCCTCTCCTTCTCCTCACTTTCCACACTGTTCTCAAAATCTGAAGCTGCAAACTGGAATGCAGAATCCAGGGCAGGCTCTGACCTGTCCCTTCCCACTCAGGTCGTTCCAGCTGCTACCCCAGGACAGGCTGTCCCCGCTAGCCAGCAGGGCAGCTGCTGACTCACGCTTGCCTGGGGATCCGCAGGGTCCCAGCTCCTGCCCTCTTCTGCTACCACAGCTACCCAGCACAGGGCCCCCAGAAGTGCTCTGACTATTGGCTTCTGGGGTCTCAAGCCGTGACCTGCTGGGGCTCCTCTGGAAGCCTGGCCTGGCCCACACCCAGCACTAACCTGGAAGACGTCATTGGCGCACTTGCGGCAGAGGTTGTGTTGGCAGGGCAGGATGACCACCGGCTTGGAGAACATCTCCAGGCAGATGGGGCAGAGGAGCTGCTTCTCCAGGCTGTCCATGCTGTGTGCATCCCCTAGCAGCGGCTTGAAACCCACGGTGAAGTTCATCCCCTCGGCGGTCGTGCCTGCCCGGGCCTCTAGACCCTGCCCTCCTCACTTCCACTGGCCTGTAGCTGCTCCTCTCCTTCCTGCTCACTCTGGAAATGGCTCTGCTATAGCTCCTGTCCCGTCCTCTCACAGCTTGTCTTGCCCTTGGGGAGTTGGTTCCAGACGCTTCTTGTCTCTCTGCTCTGGATTCTGCCCAGACACTTGTGGCTCTGTCTGTCTCTCCCCTTCTCTAAAATCCTCTTTGGCCTCCCAAAGGACCCCCTCTCCTGCTCACTCCGTGGGCAGTGCTGTTTGTCTCTGGCTCCTGAGAGGAGATAAACTTCACTGTGGGGGTGGGGAGCTGAGGGGCATCGGCATGACATTCCAGATCCCAATTTAGCTCATGTAAGGCGAGCCACAGCTGTCGCCGAGAGCGAGTGACCCTGACTCACGCGGGAACAGGCAGGTGTCCCTGCCGACAGTGGAAGGTGGGCCAGCAAACATATCAGGCAGGCATCTAGAAGGCTCCTGGGAGCCCCTGGCCCCAAGTTCTGGCACGGGTCCTTCTTCCAGGACAACAATATGAGCTAAATCAGTCCATGGTTTAGGGTGGCAGGAAAGATCTGACCAGACCTTAAAGAGAGACAGAGTTGATAACAGTCTCCTCTTCCTCGGATTAGCCAGTGACTCCACCCCTCTTCCCCAAGACCATGTGGTTCGCAATGGGGCACGAGGAAGACGGCCTCTTGTCTGACACTTCCAGCCACGTTTTGCTCTTGCACAGCCCTTTCTTCCCCCTAAAGAGGCTACAGAAGCTGCAGGTGGCTGCTGTGCTCCTGAGGCAGGGTGGGATGCTGCTCCACCCACACAACACTGGAGCCACTCCAGGAAATTTTAGTTTGTTGGGAAATTGGGAGACGCTGAGCTGGGTTGAGAGGAGCTAGTTGGTCTCCAGGGAAATCTCAGAGCACAATCACAAGGCTTGGGAAGTGTCTGCCTGGCCCCACACTTGTCCCTGCCGATGGCCCAGCAAGCCAAGACAGTCCACAGACAACAGACAACAGTTACCACAGACAACAGTCCTGGTTTTCTCTTTTTCTCTGTAGGATTCTTTCTTGATCTGTCATTTCTGGGTCCAAGACAATGCACGGGGATTGATGAAAGTTCTTTTATTTACTAGCATGTCTTAAACCTTTCTCCCAGATGAGAGAGAAAAAGTTAGAGGAGTCCCTAGGCCCTGACGCTGCGTGGACGGGAAACAGGTGGCGTGGAGAGGACACGAAACAGGCAGCACGGAGAAGCACGAGCAGGAAAAGAGTCGGCAAAGTCCTACCTTTTCCTGACCGTGTCTCATGCTCTGGTTTAAGAACAAAGCACACGGCAACCAGCCTGTACAAGATGACGTCCACAGGACTGAGTGAGCAGGTGCCGATGCCTGAACTTCAGCCCACCCAAGGGCTGAGGCTAATGGGTGCTGGGCTGGTGGCTGGAGTCCATGGAGAGTCCACAGGTGGAACAAATGTCCCCAAGGAACAAAGGCACTCACATCTTTCCTGGGTTGACTCAGGATGTGTTGCTGAGTCTGGCTCCGGCCCATAAACGTCTTGGCTGATCTGGGAGTTGTTGGTCCACACAGTTGCAGCAAAGGAGGCTACGGCAAAGGAAGGTTTAACTGCGTAGCAGCTTAGAGCGCAGGGTCCACCTACTTGGTTAGCAAGTGGCTCATCAATCTACCGGACACCAAGGTAGGCCAGGAGGAAGAATCCTCAGAGAAAAATCTTCTACCACTGCTGGAGACTTTCCAACACACCGATGAGAGGGCTGTTCTCTGAGAGATGGCAGCGGAAAAGAAGAGTAGCTGGGCAACCACATATGGCCAGTCACACTGTCAAGAGCAGAGATGGGGTCCTGGCTGGGATGGGTGTCATCAATATTTTGGAAGCAGGGATTCCTACAGGGAGAGGAACCAGGGTCAGGGTCAGGACAGGGTACTTGCTCTCCTTGCAATGTGTCCAGGGGACTAAGCAGCAGAGGGTGCACTGTGACAGCATCTCGTGGCAGAAGAAGATGGCACCTTGTTAACTATAAGGAATGATTGTCATCTGGACTTGAAGCAAACTTGATATCCATAAGGTCAGTACTTGGGGTTTATACGGGTATACATTTTTCACTGGCAACTCACCTGAAGTTAGTTTATCTGCCTTTTCATTTCTTTCATGTTAATTTCAGTTTACATACCTCATTTTCCTTCATCACTTGTTAAATATCTTCAAAGTCTTCATCACTTTTAAAGCCACCTCTGGCTCCTATGACAGAATTTATATGTACAATGACACACAGAAACATGTAGTAACGAGTTTTCAGTCTACCAGTGAGAAAATGGTTCCCTTACAGTTACTCAACAACACCACTAGGTGGCACTAGTGCGGACTTCAGTTAAATTCCAACTTTGAAGATTGTGTGCGGTGGGAGTAACTATCATCTTCCTCTTGAGTAGATCGATGCTCTAACTGCATCATTGACTCTCTCTTCAGTTACTGCTCTTTACTTTTTCTTTTTAAATAATTTTTATTGATATATAGAGAACACTGGTGCGATGGCTCAGTGGCTAAATCCTCGTCTTGCACAAAACAGCATCCCATACAGATACTGTTTTGTGTCCTGGCTGTTCCACTTCCCATCTGGTTCCCTGCTCGTGGCCTGGGAAAATAGTAGAGGATGGCCCAAAGCCTTGGGACCCTGAACCCACATGGGAGACCTGGAAGAAACTCCTGTTTTCTGGCTTCAGATTAGCTCAGCTCTGACCGTTGTGGTCATTTGGGGAACGGAGCAGCAGGTGAAAGATCTTTGTCTTTCCTTCTGTCTGTAAATCTGCCTTTCCAATAAGAATAAATAAATCTTTTTGGGCAAAAAACAAAAGGCAGGTGCAGCCCACATGACATTCAAACTCCAGGTGTGTGGGATAAGACACTCAGAAATACATTATGCACCTTCTCTTTCGACACTGTCCTAATGGCACACACATTACAGGGTTCACCTGCTCTGGCCGCCTTGCTGTCCGACCCAGCTCGGCTGGGACCTGCCTAGGGGCCTCACCTGCCCGCGGAGGCTGAGTCTGGACGTTCTCTGGCTGTTTCCTGCGGCTGACATCCTCGGGCGGAGGCTTCAGAGCCCCACAGCAGAAGCAGCAGCAGCAGCAGCAACAGCAACAGGTGAGCAGGGCACAGAGGATGATGAGCGTCTAAGAGGCGAGGGACAACGGCCTCGGCCCTGCTGTCCTATTTTACCGTGCAGGTTCCCCTCCCTGCCCTACCCCAGCACCCAGAATGTACCTTGAACCAACAACTGTTCACTGTGTAATAGTATCTGACACCTTCCTCTCCATAGTGATCATAGAGATACACTCCAAACGAGCCATGCTGGTCATAGATTCTGCGCTTCTTTGGGTCACTCAGGATGGCATGGGCTGTATTGATCTCTTTGAATATTTCTGCAGCTTGAGGGTCTCCTGGGTTCTTGTCTGGATGATACTGCAAGGCCAGTCTCCTACACAGGCAAAACCCCCCAAAACGGGTGGTGTGGGGAGGCGATGGTAAGAGGGGATGGAGGGAGGGTGAGGGTGGATGACAGGGATACATCTCTAGCCACTGAGAAGGCCTGCTTGAGGCATGTGGTCCAAGAAGCCAAGTTCACCATCCCTATCCATGTCACATGGAAGGGGGTGATGGCGCCCATCTGGTTCCAAGGCTTGCTGGGATTGACAAGTGGGTCAGAAGGTAAGGCATCAAAAAAGGGTTCCACGAAGGCTGGGTGCGAACCTGTAAGCCCTCTTGACCTCTTCCGGGGAGGCGCCCTTCTTCAGCTCCAGCACTGCGTAGAGGGTGGAGCCTCTCTTGGACAGCCGGCGGGCCGCCTGGTCCACATGAGACATGTTCTGGGCCAGAGGAGAGGAAGCGCATGGCAGAAGTCCCACAAGATAAGCAAGCACACCACAACAGGACAAGAGCAGCTGCCAGCGGTAGGACTGGAGGGAAAACGCCAGGGCCCAGGCTGTGGGCCGCATCCAGGGCTCCCTTCCACTTCCCAGCATCCTCTGGCACACTGCCACATCTGAGGGAGGAGAGAGCTCAAAAGGAGGCTGAAGCCAGGGGAGGGGCGGGCTGTCTGTCAGGAACTGCTGTCAGCTTTGCTCAACAGCCCGGGGTCCCGTCGAAAAGCCCAGGGCAGAGTCAGCCCCAGGATAGAGGGGACAGGGCTGGGGACACCAGCTAACTGTCCTCCCCAGGGAGGAAAGCCCAATGGGGTTGGCCTGGGGGTGGGTGTTGTAGGGGGAGGCGCTTCTGGGGAAACGGGGACAGGGTCCCTCCTCTCCCCAAGGGTGGAGGGGAGGCCCTGGAGGAGAACCAAGGCAAGGAGCTGGGTGCACAGTGACCCCACTAGACCTGGCCCCTTACTTCGTAGTCTTCGTTGTCTTCGTCGTAGCTCTCAGACGCCAGGTTATCCTCAACACCTTCCACCCTCCCGGGTGTGAAACTTCACACGGTCTACTAGCAGTCCATTGTGCGTGCGTGCTGCTCCGCCATTGCGGGCCGTTTTTGGCGCCACCGGAAGTGCCCGTGATGTGGTGGCTTCGTTGGCCCTGGGACTTATTTTGCTCGCAGGAAGCCTCAGCTCCCGGATAGGTGACGTCCTGCGGCTGAGGGTTGCTGAGCGTTGATGCTTCAGTCCCAGGATGGACGCAGGTTCTGGCCACCTTCTTCAAGGGGAGACCATCATCTACCCTGACTGCCGTCCTGGCTCCTCACCGTCCTGGCTCCTCAGTTCACTTAAGGAAAGATGGCGGATGGGAGGCGCAGCTGCCACAAGGCATCTCCACAGGTGTGGTATCTGCCCCCGCTAATTTAGAACGTGCGTTTCTCGGCTTGGGCTGACCTTTCCCTTCCAACTCCTGCACATCCTGAAGACACGTCTCAAATGTCAGTGTGCCTGAGTCGCCTTCCTCCCCAACCTAACCCTCCCGACACCTGACGGCACCTTGTCAAAGTGTTTATCTTATGACACTGTCATAAGATAAGAGTTTGGGCATCCCTTTTATATATTACCTTGAATCTTTGTAAAAAAAAAAAAATCACTACCGGGTGTAGAAGACTTCACTTAAATGCTATTCCATCATGAAGCTATCCCAGGATGTAATCATAGGATACAGGTTAGTTAGCTGTTTCAGGTGTTTCTATCTAATAGCATAGTATTCTTCTGGTGAAAATTTGCATACACAAATCCTTGAAAACTCTGATTCCCTTCTCAAGCCAGTTTCCTATACAGTGGGATTACTGTGTCCAAATGAATTTTAAAAAAAAGATTTATTTTATTTCATTGAAAATCGGATAAACAGAGAGGAAGAGAGACAGAGAGGAAGATCCTCCACCCAATGATTCAATCCCCAAATGACTGCAATAGCCATAGCTCTGCCATTCTGAAGCCAGGAACCTGGAGCCTCATCCACGTCTCCCACATGGGTGCAGGAACCCAAGGCCTTGGGCCGTCCTCCACTGCTTTCCCAGGCCACAAGCAGGGAGCTGGATAGATAAGAACTGGCACCCATATGAGATCCCAGGGTGTGCAAAGCAAGGACTTAAGCTACTAGGTTACCGTGCCAGACCAAAATGAAATTTTAGTGTTTTTTTTTTTTTCTTAGAAGGTTACCAAGACAAAACAAAACAAAAAAACAATTTACATCCCTACCTGTGAGGCAAGGTGGTGCCTGTCGCCACCTGGTCTGGTTTCTTGTGACCTTGCACGTGAGATCCCCAGCAGCACAAGCCTCCCTTTTTGATTTTGACTGGTAAATGGATGCTCTGCCCCAAGGGCTGGGAGCCATGTAAGCAAATGGACTGAGTTTATGCAACCAGCACGATGACCACTGAGTGAATGGATTTTGTACCTATACATCTGTGGTCTGTGCCGGGAAGGGGGAGGGGGGCGTGGCAGGAGAGCATGAGGATGAAAAGCTTGACCACCACTTGCCCAGTCCTCGGGCTCTGGGTTGGATGATTTCAGAGGTCACTCACTTAAAAGGAGAAAGCCCTGAAGCTGACAATGTTTCACTCATTAACCTCCCACCTTCCTGTGCTGATCCTAGAGAGAATGGTGGAACCCTCAGAACAAGCCCCTGGAAGCCTCTGTTCTCATTTCAGAGGCCTTGTCTCAGCTGCCAAGGCCCACAGTGATCCTGGGTCTCCCAGCCCTGCCATGGACACTGTCTCGGCCGCCCTGGGCTCCACTCCATTGCCTTTGAAGACGCAGTGTTCTTTCTGTCTTCTGGAACCTGTGACCTCTCTTGGCCCAGAGCGTTCCTCCTGCAGCCTGTTTCGTATGCTGAGTATAGCTGAACTCTCATACAAGGGTTGTTTTGTAGCTCTGCAGAGAGACCTTGAAACTGCTTCTCCCCCTCCTCCCCACCTCCTTGTACCCTCACCATGATTGCTGAAGCCATGTGTGCTTGTGTGGTGCTTTGTGGAAAGTCTGCCTTCCCTAGCTGACAGTGAGGGCAGAGACCTTGTTTGGGCACAAGACCTAGAATGGTGCTTGGCTCATGGAGGTGTTCAATGAGCTGTAGCCTAGTGGTTGTACCATGATAAAAAATTTCCTAGGGGCTTGGTGCAGCAGCCTAGTGGTTAAAGTCCTTGCTTTGCATGCACCGGGATCCAATATGACTGCCAATTCTAATCCCGGCAACTCCGCTTCCCTTCCGGTTCCCTGCATGTGGCCTGGGAAGGCAGTTGAGGATGGGCCCAAGGCCTTTGGACCCTGCACCCACAGGGGAGAGCCGGAGGAGGCTCCTGGCTCCTGGCTTTGGATCAGCTCAGCTCTGGCTGTTGTGGCCACTTGGGGAGTGAATCAACAGATGGAGGATCTTCTTCTCTGTCTCTCTTCCTCTCTATATCTGACTTTCCAATAAAGAAAAAGAAACAAATCTTAAAAAAAAGAAAAGAAAATAGAAGTCAAAAAAATTTCCTAGGACAAAAACACTCAGCTGGGTGACTGAACAGGATAATGGGGTTCACCTCTTATGATCCTAGGCAAGAAGTTTTCAAAGATGCGGGGTTGGCATCTTTGTGACTCAGCAGGTTAAGCCGCCACTTGCAACACCAGTATATCATATCACGGTGCCAGTTTGAGTCCCAGGTGCTGATCTGCCAATCCACTGTCGTATGAATGCATCTGGGAAAACAGCAGAGAATGGTCCAAATGTTTGGGCCCTTGTCACTCATGTTGAAGACCAGGCTGGAGTTCCATTGGCCTGAACTGGCCCTGGCTATTAAGGCCATAACAATGGATGAAAGATCACTCTTTTTCTCACTTCTCTCTCTCGTTCTTCCTTTAAGTAAATCTTTAAAGAAAGAAAAAGAAATAAGGCAAGAAGGATTACCATATGATTCGGGACTTCCTGTTGCTTTTCTGAGTTTTTATTTAGTTCCCTAACACTGTTCCCGGAGTATTGAAGAAGCCTAGCCTAGCCACTGTTGGTCGGCTGACTGAGCTAGCCTGCGCCTGGTTTTTCAGAGGCACTTGCTCATTTCTCTGGTTCTCATGGGCGATGTGATTGCATCCCCTTGGCATGGACGCTAACCCTGAGAAAGAAGATGCACTGGTGCTGAGGGGAGTGAATAAGCATCTTGCACATCTCACCAGAGGCTCCACAGTGCCATTAGTCCTTATCATTGCCCTCTGACATTCTAATTAATCACAGCTCAAGGCTCTTGAAATAGCTGTTATCTGTTAAGTGAGGCTCTGCACCAAACAAAACTGAAATGCTGTGGCCAGAGAGCTGCAAAGATGCAGACAGAACAGGCCTCCGGGCCTGGGGGGGGGGGGGGGCGGGGGTTTGCTCTCCACCTGGCCTCCTCCTGGAAGCCACTGCTCCATGGTCCCCGTCTTCTGTGGGGGGCGGGGAGGGAGTCTCTTTCCACACCCAGCACAGTCCTAGTGGGAGGTGGAACACACAAGTCAGGAGTCAGAAGCCCTGGATCTCAGTGCAGGCTCTGATTCTAACAAGCTTCTCAAACAAGTCCGCTGTTCTCGGAGTCTCTCTTCCTTAAAACCTTTGCTTGAGTCACCTGCTCTCCCACCACAACTAGGGTTGGTGTCTTGTAGTTTACTGACAGTTTCCTGTCTCCCAGAGCCATTTGGTCTCTCCTGAAGAAAAGGGAGAAGCATCCCTTGTTTACCCATAAACAGCTAAAGTTTTAGTCATATAGCTGGAATACACACCCATACAGACAGCAGACATTGGCATACTTATACCCAAAACACCACGCTCTGGAGCATATGCAGTGGGAGAGAGAGATCATAATTTGTCACACCCAGCCACCAGGTTCTTGAATTGTTCAGCTTCTAAGCTGAGAGGGACCACAGAGGTTTAACTCTAGTCCGATGCTTTCATTTTATAATGGAGGAAAATCCTACCCAAGGAGAAAAATTGACCTACTCAAGGGCACTGAAACCCAGACCTAAATCTTCTGACTCAAACTTCAGATTGCTCCTTTAGAAACCAGCTCCCTTCCAACTTCAAACTGAAGGTCTAGCTTAAAAATTTCTTTCTTTATTTGAAAGACAGAATTACAAACAGAAAGAGGGAGAGACACAGAGAGATCTTCTATCTGCTGGTTCACGCCCCGAATGGCCTCAACAGCTGATCAGAACCAGGAGCCAGGAATTGCTTTTGGATCTCCTGTGTGGGTGCAGGGGCCCAAAGCTTTCCTAGATGCGTCACCAGGGAGCTGGATCAGAGGCAGAACAGCTGGGACTCGAACTGGTGCCCATGTGGCAACCTTCCTTACAGGCACTCTGCGGTGATGGCTGCTAGGTCTACACTTTGAACCAAACTGTCGGGAATATTCCTGTGCTTTCCCAGGTGATGTCAGGTACAGT